ACCAATAAGGTTAAACTAAAATTCTTTATTTTAACCATTTGACTGAAAATGCAGCTCAAATGATTACATACTTCCTGACTTCTTAAAATAGTCCCTCCCTCAGGAATGACTATTATAACTGGGATTTAACAGATTGCCCTTGTATCAACAGCCTTGGCCTATGAGCATCTACAAGTGCTTGTAATAGTTTTGACTCTTAATCCACCATTACCCTATGTCTAGTTAGAGGTAATACGGTCAGTATGCTTATCTCTAATAGGCCATCTGATTTGCTACCTCTAATCTTCAATGGGGCATGATACCCATAGACAACATAGTAGTCATTAGTGCTGTTCACAAAATATTTCTGGCTCTTTGCTTTCCAGGCATATACTAAGACTGTAATTCCTTACCGTTCTTTAAAGTTAGGCATGGCCAAAAGTGACTTGCTTTGGTCAATGGAATGTGAATGAAAGTGACATGTGCCACACTGGGACAGAAACTTGTCCATGTGACCAACATTTTTTCATCGAATTAAAATGATCACAGAAGCACCATGTTAAGATGGAGTTTCCATCAGCCTCAGTTCCTGGGTGACTGTAAGGAGAAGAGTTTCCTATGCAGTCATGCTGGACATGTCACATGAATGATAAGTCAACTTTTGTTCTGTTAAGCCACTGAAGTCTGGAGGTTTTTGTTAGTGCAGCCTAATCCAAGCTATCCATACCAACATACCAGACTTCTCAGTAAGGGAGTCTCTCATATAAATAACTTTATCTATAGATTTTATGACAAACATTTTTTTTGCACAAAGAATTTTCTTCGTATTCATCCTGGTTCAAAGAAATTTTCAAGCTGGGTGAGGTGGCTCACGCCTGTAATCCTACCACTTTGGGAGGTCGAGGCTGGAGGATACTTGAGGCCAAGAGTTTAAGACCAGCCCGGGCAATATTGAGACCCTGTCTACAAAAAATAAAACAATTAATTGGGCATGATGGTACACATCTGTAGTCGCAGCTACTTGGGAGGCTGAGGCAGGAGCACCGCATGAGCCCTTTGAATCTCTAGTTATTATTCTTACCCATGTTTCAGGGCCATATTTGTAGTCCCAGCTACTCGGGAGGCTGAGGCAGGAGCACCGCATGAGCCCAGAAATTTGAGGTTGCAGTGAGCTATGATAATTAATGCCACTGCACTCTAGCCAGGGTAAGAGAGTGAGATCCTGTCTCAAAAACAAAAAAAGCTATTTTCAATTAAAATATGTTTGCCAAGTACCTACTATGTACAAAACAATGTGTTAGATGATGAAAAAGTCCATGTCTTGAAAAAGCTTCAGTCTTATGTTGTAGGTAGAAGCGGGATTAAGGCAATTATAGCAAAAGAGTAGACTCTAATGTTATAGTGGTTTAAAGGAGAGAGACATCTAGATGGGGAGAAAAGTATAGAAAAATGTCACAAACAAAGTTCCATATCATATTTGGTTTTGAGACAAGATCTCACTCTATTGCCCTGGCTAGAGTGCAGTGGCATTATCATAGCTCACTGCAACCTCAAACTCTTGGGCTCAAGTGATCCTCCTGCCTCAGCCTCCCGAGTAGCTGGGACTACAAATATGGCCCTGAAACATGGGTAAGAACAATAACTAGAGATTCAAAGGGGTCATTTAAGATAGAAAAAGCCAACATGAGCAAAAATATGGAGCACAAACAGCAAAGCACAAAGAGCAGATAGTTCCACTGACCTGGAAATCATAATAAAACCTAAGGGAACGACAAGAAATTAGTTTGCCCATACTGCCCATGCCAGGCTGGCCTGTGCCTAACTCAACAGACAGTGGGGAGCCACTGAAAGTCTTAGCCAGAGAAGTGACATACCTGGAAGTGATTGTAGCACACACAGTAGATGGTAGGAAATAAAAAAATGTTACAGGGTTTCTGTGGTAATTCGCAGAAATGGTATCAATGGCCCTAAATTAGTAAAATGACAGTAGTGGAAAAAAGTAGATTTCAGAAATGGTATGGAGGTAGGATCAGCAAGACCTGGCAACCAACTGAACACAGGGACAAAAGAAGAAAGGCAAGAATGAACATGAGGTGCAGATCCTGGGTAGTTAAGAGAATGCTATTCCAAATAGCTGAGGTTAATAAAAAAAAAAAATGACAATGTCAAATCAGGTGTTACTGTACTTATTTTCTGATGGTTAGCTATCCTCAGCTTCCTTTGAAATAAATACCACTACCTATTTATCCTTTGCTCCATCCAGGACAAAGGTACTTCTTGGATTATTGCCATCAACCTACTTTTTGTACAGCCTCATCTTCACTTTTTCCAATATGAAACTCCCTGGAAGAAGCATCCATGAGCATTTCAGGTTGTCCCTGTGCTTCTACCATCTTCACTTTTTCATCTGCTCATTTCTCCTTCCTCTTCAGGCAACCATGCCTACCCACTCTTCATGGCTCAACTCAGCTCCCCTGTGAAACCTTCCTCAGACACATGGATTTCTCCTTTTCCTGATTTCTCATAGCACCTACTATCTTGGAATTCTGGAGGCATTATCATTACTTACCACTGTCATGTGTGTACTTTATTCCCACAACTATATTATAGGCCATCAGAACAAGTTTCATATCTTAAATGTTTTTGAGTTCCTCCTCAGTCAATGCCTTGCACAAAATATGTACTCAGGAGACACTTTATTGATTGATCCAAAGTCAATTAGTCTCTAAGAATATGAATGTCTTATTTCATCATTAATAATTTACTTTTATTACACCATGGTTAGATATTTAGACATGTGAAATGGAGAGATTCACAACTTAATACTACAAAATATCCTTGAGTTAAGAATCTCAACTCTTGGGAGCTGTTGTTGCCTAAGAGATTATTTGAAAATACGACTTGGTCATAAATATTTGTACCAGCTTCCTTTTAACCCTATGACTGTTAACGTAAAAAAAAGTACACCAAACAGTTCAGTGATCCTCACTCCAAAATGATTTTTTTTTTTTGAGACAAGGTCTCCCTCTGTTGCCAGGGCTACAGTCCAGTGGCCTTGTCATAGCACACTGCAACCTCAAACTCCTGGGCTCAAGCAATCCTCCCAAGTAGCTGGGACTACAGGCATGTGCCAACGTGCCCAGCTAATCTTTCTATTTTTTCTAGAGACAAGGTCTGGCTGTGTTGCTCAGGCTAGTCTTGAACTTCTGGCCTCAAGCATCCTCCAGCCTCAGGCTCCCAAAGTGATGAGATTACAGGGTTGAGCCACTAGGCCCAGCCCCAAAATGATTCTTAGAAACAACCTAATTTGTCATTAGGAGTGTTTTACTTTCAGTAACCTAGTGGTTTTTTTCTACCTTCATGTCCAACTATCTATAGTATAGACAATTCAAAATATATCCACAGAAAAGTTGGTATATTTTACTTTCTGGACTAACAGCTGCCTTCATTAGTCCCTCCCTCAATTAACTGCAATAATTCAGTTCTCATGTTTCACTCCCTCCCGGTATATGAGAGAAACACAAACAAAAATGAGGTTTATTGAGGAATCATAAAAATGGGCATTGTCGTAAAAAGGAATCCAAAATACTCACGAGACACTCTCCTAACAAAACCTACTCTCCTCACTAAGATATTTCCTCTTGCGAGCAAAATCACGGAGACAATGGGAAAAGGTGTCAGAAGCAAAGAAAGCAAGCAAGGGGTACTTTGCCAGTCAAATTGACCCTGGTCCTTCTGAATATCTGGCCCCAAATAGAGCAGTAAGCAATGACAACCGCGACCCATATGCTGCTGATTCGGGCTCAGGCTTTCCCTGTACTTCTCCTCCCTCTTGGCACAGCGGGGCCTGAATGACAGTGTCCTTGCTTTGAGCCCAGGTACACTGCAAAGCGGGGTCTCGCTGGGAGATCACCTCAGACCGCTCGGCCGCATCCGGCCCGCCTTTCCCCCCAGGCCTGGCAGCCCCTACACAGTGGAAGTCATCCAGGGATTGGGCTCCCAGCCGGTGGGACAACTGGGCCGTACCCCGCCCCCTCCTCCCCAGCACTAGCGCAGGCTTCGGGCCCCGCCCGGCCCGGGGACCGCGGGCAGCGGGGGAGGGGCGGGGCAGCGCGGCGACCGTTAGCCGCGGTCTGCCGTCACGCCCCAAAGCTCACCGGGCAGGCCCTTACCGCAGCGGAGAGGGAGGTAGGGGGGAGGCGGCGCCCGGCCCCAGGCGGGACGGGAAGGCGGAGGCGGCGGCGGCAGCCGCGGGGGACCCCGGCGGGCGCCCACGACGCGGTGGGCTGCATGGGCGCCGCCATAGTGGGGACGCAGCGGCGGGCGGAGCGCGCGGCCACGACCAGGTCGGGCGTCCGCGGCCAATGGGCGCGCGGGAGCCGGGCGGGGCGCCGGGCTGGCCAACGAGGAGCTGCGCTGCCCGAGTGGGCGGGCGCGCGCCGGAGCTGCCCAGTAGGCGCGGGAGCCGCGGAGTTCCCCGGCCCGCCCACCCCGGGGACCCGGGCTGAGGAAAGGGAGCGGTGCGTGCCAGCCTCGCGTCAGCGCCCTCAAGGGCACACCCGGCCGCCTGGAGGAATCCTCCTTCCCAGGCCTCGCCGCCAGACGGCCGCTTGGGCCGTCCCGAGGACCTAGCCCCTTGAGAGCCTGTTTCCTTGCCCGTGCGCGGAGCTCAAAGTGCAGGGTGGTGACGGTCATTCCACGCCGAGGACACCTCATCTCGCGCAGCCAGTCCACTCCATCAGGCCCAAGGCTTTGGACCTCCGTGCCCAATCCTGTGGGGTAAGGCCACGGAGGTCCATACTGCTCTTGTGCATTAACTTCAGAGCCTTGTAGAAAGTGTTTAGTCTGGGCACATGGGCATCCCACCCACATACCCTGTGCAGCTGTCTCCCACCCCACTCTCATCCCCGCAGCTGAGCCCTGGCATCATCTGCCTGGGGCACAATTTAAAACTTAATTCCTCAGAGGGGTCAGGGGAGACTTCAAACCGTAATCCTAGGATGCTAGCACAATGACCCTACCTTGCTAAAGGAAGGTAGCTTGTCCTTTGTGGCAAAAAGCTTCTGGTAGCAGCCTGGCTGGCCGGCCTTTTGCCCGGGGTCAGTCTTCTAAGGCCCGGACGTGACCGAAAAGGCAGCCAGTGAGGGAGAAAACAGGCGGGTTCCATGTGATATGGGAAAGGCCCGTCCCCTCTGAGTTTCGGTTTCCTCAGGGTCATCACGTTGGCCAAATAAAAAATGCAAAGTTTCTAGGAAAATGGTCAGCTGTTAAGAACTCTGCGGGGATTAGACTAGGCACCTAGCCCTGCAGATCCTTCAGCAGGGTTGAGGACACTGGGGTCAGTGAGAGAAGCAGGGAGGTCTGAGACCCTGTGAAGAAAGGCTAGGGAAGTGCTCCAAAGATGTGTGCCCCCAGGGCTCAATCACCAATCCACTAAGGCCTGGCTCTGCCCAGCCTCCCCTGGGAATGTTCCTACAGGGCATAAAAGTCAACCTTCCTTTCTTGGCCCCAGGAGGGAATTGGCATAGAAAAGCATCTTTGAAAACTGCTGCTCCTCCCTTTCCCCACAATCAGACACCAAGTAGCAACTACCTCCTAATCCTGAAGGACACAAGTACTGAAAGTAGCTAAGCTGACCCAAGCCTCTCCTGCACTGGGACAGGGCCATGCCATTGGGTATCTAGCTGTCCAAGGGCCAGCTGGAGCAGATCTTCTATACCCAAGTCCTGTTACTCACTGTCCCCTCCATGCCCTGCAGCTCCCCATCATTGTCCACTTCAACATCAGGGACCCACAAGGTGAAGGGAACCAGGTCTTCCTCCAGGGAAGCTTCTCACCAACAACAGATGGCTCAAAGCAGCTTCAGGACCCCACTGGGGCTGAATCCTTTGCTCTTCAAGCACCTAAAATGCACTCCCCTCCTTCAAACTGGTTCCAAAATTTGTGTAGAACAAAGATGTTGTAATGGACTTAGGCCAGTCAATGAAGATGTATCAAGCAAGAGATTAGACTATTGAGAGGACTGGGCCGTCTGGTGCTTCCTTGATTATCTCCTCCTGCCCATCTCCCAGGAAGGGTATACAATGCAGAGGTGCTCATAGCCCAAAGTATACCTGCTCCCATGTCCCACCATGCTTGGCCCAATACAGAGCTTCACAAGGAAAGAACCCATCTCTTTGGAACAGCTTCCTAGATCTGCCTTACTGATTTTTATAATACATGGCCCTGTCCCAGAGCCAATGACTCTAGATACACCCCAGCATGACCCTGGGCCATTTGGGCTCCTTGGGGCAGACAGCCAATCCTCTGCACAACATATTTTATTGCTAAGGACAAGGTGATGCACCGGTTTTCAAAATAATTTGGTTTATAGCGTTCATACGTAACAAAAAAAGGGGAAGTATTATAAATCTGATTCTTGTATACACAGGGTATAGGTGTGAAGCCCTGCAATCCTGGGCCCAGGCAAACAAATTCATGAGGAGTAAAAACCTGTTTAACCCCTTCAGTGTTGCCCTCTAGTCCCACCCCCACCCCTAAATCAGCTCCCTCCCACCCCCAGTGGGCCTCCAGTGGCCCCAGTTGCTTCAACCTAACCCTCCCAGCCCCTGCATGATTGCAATATTCTGTTGATAGAATCACCCACCAGGCTCTGCCTGCTTCCATCATTAAAATCCCCCCTTCAGGGTAATCCCCGCCCATACCTAGTAATACTGTGCCACAAGGGCTTTGTGCCTAGTGTTGTGGGCACACACCCATGTTATCCCCATGTTCTCCTTCAAGGGAAGACAAAGAAGTGGCATCAATTCTTAGCATCTCAATACTGCAGCTTTGCCAGCACTCTCTTGAGGTTGTTCTGGCAGGGACAGATGTCACACCCATCTCCAGCCAACCCCTAGGGGCCCTTACTCAGCTTAGCTGAGGGCAGAATTTCACATTTTGTTTCCCTACATAGGCAAGGAAGAAAGTAAAGGCCAGGGGCTGGCAGAAGCTGGTCCAGACCAAACATACAAAGATACGCACACACCCACCCAGCCACCCACCCACACACACACATAAATACAAAAGTGGGCATGGGGGCAGGCACCAGCACCTCTACCTAGTTGGTGCGGGCAACTGTTAGGAAGCTAAGTCCTAGGCCAGGAACAGGGCAATCAGTCCAGCCAGCACAGTGGACCCCTTTATAGACTGGGGTCAGTGCAGCCACAGGATTCCAGTACTCAGCCCCCCCAGCTGGAAGATCAGCAGCTGCTGTCACGTGTCCAAAAACGGCTTGTCCTTTCACTATAGCAGAATGCCACGAGGATGGGGTGAGAAGATGATGGAGTTCGTTAGTTCATTCCTTTTCTTTTTACAACTTCACTTTTCGAGACTTCAGAGTTCCAAGTGTCTGCTGTGCTGTGGAACCTTGGAGTGCTCTTGCCTTGAGGGCTGGGAATCTCTTGGACCCTGGAAGCACCTACTCCATGATGGCCCGGTATAGTGCAGGCTCAATATAATCTTCCCGGTATCTTGAGTTGATAACTCGTTGCCGTTTCTTTTCTTGCTTAACCTCTTTCTCTGTGAAAATCTCGTTGAAGCGCATGTCTGAGGCTACCGACTACAGAAAAATAAGCAGGCCAAACAATCACTTTATGGCCAACGGAAAAACACAAAGGGACAGATCCTTGCCTTGTTCCCTCCCTCCCAGACAGGAACCAAGGGCACAAGAAAACAAACACTTAGGCTGGGTGTGGTGGCTCATGCCTGTAATTCTAGCACTCTGGGAGGCTGAGGTGGGCAGATTGCTCAAGGTCAGAAGTTCAAGACCAGCCTGAGCAAGAGCAAGACCCCGTCTCTACTAAAAATAGAAAGAAATTAATTGACCAACTAAAAATATATATACAAAAAATTAGCCAGGCATGGTGGTGGATGCCTGTAGTCCCAGCTATTTGGGAGGCTGAGGCAGTAGGAACGCTTGAGGCCAGGAGATTGAGGTTGCTGTGAGCTAGTCTGCTGCCACAGAACTCACTCTAGCCTGGGCAACAAAGTGAGACTCTGTCTAAAAAAACCAAACAAACAAAAACACTTACCAGTCTAGACTTGACTCTCTTGGGAAGCTCTTCATCCAGCGTATACACATCATCTCTCTTAACTACAAGCTGTGAGCCATCCTCAAACTCCACCTATCAAGGAAGCAAAAGCCTTTTGGCTAGGAAATCCCTTACTCTCTCCCTGGTCCACCACGTGCAGTGTCCGTGCAGCCAAAGGAAGGAATTAGAACACTGAAGTACGGGCTACCATGTTTGAAGCCACACTTGACAAGCTGGACACAGGGCAGACTCCTAGTTCTAAAAGGGTTACCAACTCACTAGTTCTCCCAAGAGCAGACTGCCTCTGGCCCAATAGGAAGCAATGATTTAATTACATACCCCCTCTCCCAGCAAGAACCTTTGGCTACCTGGTACATTTGGATGGGGTGGGAAGCCACAAACTTCGCTCCATAGACTTGGCCATCTGTCCATCTCACTTGGACCACTTCCCCTTCAGCAGGAGGACCCAACTGGAGACAGTCCTGGCTCTGAGGAAACAGGAAGGAAGGAGAGTGAAAAAAGGTCCATTTGAGCACAATAATAACTGCCATGTACTCAGTAAAGAATGAACCAGGACTGGCCTGGTGCGGTGGCTCACGCCTGTAATCCTAGCACTCTGGGAGGCCGAGGCAGGCAGATCGCTTGAGACCACGAGTTCGACACCAGCCTGAGCAAGAGCAAGACCCTGTCTCTACTAAAATAGAAAGAAATTAATTGGCCAACCAAAAATATATAGAAAAACTTAGCCGGGCATGGTGGTGCATGCCTATAGTCCCAGCTACTCAGGAGGCTGAGGCAGGAGGATTGCCTGAGCCCAGGAGTTTGAGGTTGCTGAGAGCTAGGCAGACACCATGGTACTTTGGCCTGGGCAACAGAGTGACACTCTGTCTCAAAAAAAAAAAAAGAATGAACTAGGACAAATTCCTGCTCTAATACTCCAAACAAGGCAGCTCTCTGGGCTGAAAGATGCAATAAAGATGTGCTTGCTAAGTCAAAGTCTGCCCTATATCTCTGTCCCCTGATGCTTCTTGGTGACAAAAAAGAATGGCTATAATAATTTAGTTAACATAAAAGACAGGTTCCATAATCAAGAGTCCTTCTTGCATTCCCTCTACTCTTCCTTTAAGGGCTGCCCAGGGCTCTGCCATGTTGAAATGCTACAACTGTATTCAAAATGTGTTCTTAATAGAAAAGGTACTAAAAGAAAGGATCACCCATCATGGCACTTGGCAAAGTATTTTAGAAGTTCTCCTTCCAGAAGTGGGTAGGCATCGTAAGGTGAGTCCTCACGATATTCCCAGTAAAGGGCTTGGTATACAGTGTAAAGTCAATGTACATGCATGTGGGTTGAATGAAAGGTCTGATGGGTAGACCTGGGAGAAAGGTCCTTAGAGACGTGATTAAAAAGTACACATCAGATAAGAGTGGGGGGACAGTGAGTCTATAAAGGGTGTGGATGTTCACAACTGCTCTTACCAATCACGGTACATGACAAGAGAGTTAGAAAAGGTCTGTCCTTCCAGTTCATTTCTTGAGCAGAAACAGCTTATACTGTATTGACAATTCATTTACTTAGTAGGTAATAAATATATTTTGTATCAATCTAATAATTAAGCAGAAACTGCAGCCTCCCACCCCCCAAATATGCAGAAGTTTTAGCTAGTCAAACTTATGTGACCTTTAATAAATCACTTAAGTTCTCTGCATCTCATTTCTACCTCTTACAACAGCAGTTCTCCAAGTGTAGTCCACGAACCTCTGAGAGGTTCCTGAGGCACTTTCAGGGAGCGTGTAAGGCCATGACTATTTTCATAATGTTAAAACACTAGCCTCTTTCATTGTGTTGACATTTGCAGTGATGGTATCAAATCTATGATGGGTAGAACTGCTGGCACCTGAGCACAAATTAAAGCACTGGCCCCAAGTTCTACTCATTGTTATTGCATTTTTCACCACTGTGCACTCATAATTTAGGGGGGAAAAAGCAAACCTGGTTTCACATAACGTCGTCCCTTGATGGAGCAGTAAAGATTATTAATTTTGTTAAACCTTAATCATTGAATATATGTGTAAGTACTCATAAGACACTCTGGCTGCAGACCAAAGTATGACGGTTGCCTTGAGAGGAAAAACACCTGTGTAATTGTTTGAGTTGTGAGCTACACCAGCTTCTTTTTTCGTGAAACACCAGTTTTTATTTGAAAAAAATGACTGACAAACTATGGTTATTCAGACTTGGGGATTGGCAGACAACTTGAAATGAACAAAGTGAGCCTGTCACTTCAAAGAAAACAAGAGTCAGTATCTATTGCCAATAATAAAATTCACACTTTCAAGCTAAAATTAGAATTTCAGAAAAGTTCATTCACCACTGTGAGCTTGAAGCTTTCCAAAATTTAAAGTTTTCTGATGAGATTAGTGATACTAACCATGTGATCTGTTGATATATATAACATTTAACAACATTTAGAAGATCTCCATAGTCCAATGCACCAATGTTTTCTAAATGACCAATGTATGATGTTATAAAATCAGGCATGAGTGAAAGATGCATTCTAAGAAAGAGCAATGGATCTTAATATAACAGAGTATGAAAAGTTCATTGACCTGCTTTCAGATTCCACACTGCAACTAACTTTTAAGAAACTGCCACTTGAGTTTTGGTAGAGCATCAGAGAAGAATAATCACAATTATCTGAAAGGCTGTGAAAATATTCCTCCCCTTTCCAACTACATATCTGTGTGGGGCTGAATTTTCTTCCTATAGTTTAACCAAAACAGTATATCAGAACATATTAAATCAAGAAATGACATTAAGGGGGGGGCAGGGGCATTATAGGTAACTTTAACATTTGTACCCCCATAATATGCTGAAATAAAAAAGAAAAAAAAAAGTGACATTAAAAAGATCTACAAAATTGTAGAAAAATAGCATTCTTTTCAATTGTTTTTGTTTTAGAATTTTTTTATTATAAAGTGAATTATTTTAAATTAGTCTCAGTTTTAATTTCTAATA